CTCTGAGTCTTTAAAATGGCACCCATTTCCAACATTAAAAAATAGAACAGAGTGTCTACTGCTCAATGGACAGGTGAGGACTTGAGAAATGGAGTAGTCCCTGTGACACACAGCACCTCATGGAATGTAGTAAAGAACTGAGAGCTTATAATGCATAAAGTAGAAAGTCCAGGTGTTTGTCCATTTACTTAAGATTTGCCTATATATCTTTTCTGATTCCTGAAAGGAAAAATGACAAGACTCACTGTGTAGCAGGACACCTTGAAGGTATTCTCTCTGTTCCAGAGCAGCCCCAAGATTTCCATGTGGGGTTTGGAGCATGGGGTGACCAGAATGGGAAAGGCTGTATAATACAGGGCAAAATCTTTGGAAGCAGATAGACTCTTAGTAGTACTTCATGCTGCTTACCACCCTTAGTCCTTAGATGATAATCTTACTAAGGAATTGGCACTAAGCATTTATGTCTTGTATACTTAATGAATACTCGTGTGTGTGTGTGTGTGTGTGTGTGTGTGTGTTTATTGATATATAGATGTGGATTATTTATTTTATAATGTTATACAAGTAAACTTACCTAAAATATATAAGAAGTCTTAAAGACAATAGACTCACCATCTTGTGTAAATCCCACCTAACCCAAGAATCTGTCAATGGAGCCACCAAATAAAATGTTCTGGGAAGAACTAACTTTAGACAATAGATAGCTATTTACCTTAACAGCCTTTTGAACATAGTTGTAATTTTTTTTCTAAAGTTTCCTCACATTTGAACTACAATATAAAATATGAATAATTGTGGCAGCAAGTTCCAGTATAAAGACCATGAACTTGGGAATCCAAAAGAAAGACCTGAGGTTGAACACCGTCTTGGTCACTTTAACTTAATTTTTTGGTTACCAGTTTCATCCTATGTGTGTTGGTAAAATAATGACCACTTCATAAGTTTCATGTATTGTTTTTTCCCTGCAGTATTGTATGACAAGGCCCTGACACAACGCCTGACCTGCAAGAGATCTGCAATGATTGGCGATTCTACTCTCACATCACTTAAAGTGAAAGGATGTCCTCAACTTTTCCTCATCTCCACAAGTATAAGGCTTTCAGGAAAGGACATCTCCTTTCTTGAACAAAAAGTAAAGAAAACAACAAGTAAAGAAAAATATAAGGGAAGGGTTACACTGTTGTCTTTCATCTTCTGGAAACTTCATCTCCTAGAAGAACTGAATTCAGGTGCTTTCTACTTTGAGGATGCATTTAGTTTCCACTTCCGTCCCTGACCTCCAGAGCAAAAAGCCATGCACACTGTACGAAGTCCTGGAAATAGGAGTGAATGTGCCAGGCATCTCTGCACTTCCATTTCCATGGGGGTTACTTTCTCTTTTAGACCCAGTATGTTAGAAACACCTGAACTGGTCTTCAATTAATCTTTAAATATTTGGATTCTCTGTCCCACTAACAAAATGCGGTCTGTAACTGTCTGTTTTCTATGATGTACTATGTGTCTAAGGTAGCCCCAATGGGCCTCAAACATCATCAGGACAATGGCCGTTACCTCTTACTTTCTCAAATGGGACTGTCATCCCTTACAAAGCCATTATGATCTCAAGTACTTTGAAAATAAGTTTCCTCAGAAATATAAGGAATGAGAAAACTCTTTGTGATGGACTTTTTGTTTGTTGTTTGTTTTGCTTGTCTCCCCCACCCTCCCCAGGTAGAAGAATTCCACAAATTCCAGACACAAAGCATAACTCCATTTCAAAGAAAAAATGAGAGAAGTTCAAATTTTCCAAAATTCAAAAATTTTTCTTGGGGAAAGAATAAAGCAAGAGTGGGCGCCTGGGTGGCTCAGTTGGTTAAGCGACTGCCTTCATCTCAGGTCATGATCCTGGAGTCCTGGGATCGAGTCCCTGCCTGCTCGGCAGGGAGTCTGCTTCTCTTTCTGACCCTATTCCCTCTCATGTGCTCTCTCTCTCTCTCATTCTCTCTCTCAAATAAATAAATAAAATCTTTAAAAAAAAAAAGAATAAAGCAAGAGTTTTGTGAGACCGACTTCAGGAACTCAGCGTATTTTTAAAACTTCCTTTTACTTGCTTCATTTCTTGAAAGACAGGTCTGAAATAACAGATAATTTTTCCCCTTCTGCAGCTGGGCAATGTGGTAGCTTTTACCAGCTTCTCTCAGTCATAAACGTGTTTTAATGGACTGACATGTGCTTAATAATACAGGCAGCACCTGGATGCTTTAGAGCAAAGTGCCACCAGGGCCTATCCTATATTAAAACTGCATTATTGACCTGAGGCTTACAAGTCTCTGTACTCAAACATCTTGCCAATTAGAGAGAGGAACAGCCTAGTGCCAGCTCACATTTTCCTTCTTCAAATAGGGAGGACTGAAGTCTAACTTTTATAACTCTGAACATGAAAAATATTGTGTTTCTGAGTGATTAACTCACCTCCATTACTGGAAATTTTATAAATTTTATAAAAGTCCTGTGACTGCACAAATTGACCCAGCTTTTATGACTTTGTGGCGTGAGGTACCTTCTAGCTATAGGTCTTGAGTCAGTTTGGGAGGGAAAGGAATTTGCTGAATAGTTTCTTAACACTGTGCTTAGGATTTTAGATACATTATCTCATTTAATCACCATCATGGCAATCTCCTGATGTAAGAACTTTTTTTTTTAATCTTTTCCATCTCATGTTTTAGGCAAACTCTGAGATGGTCTGTTATGATCCATGACTCCTAATATACACACCTTTGTATAATGCCCTTGGTTTGAGCAGGGCCTAGACTTATTTACTTGTTTCTACTACTGAACAGAGCATGGTAAAGGGATGGAATGCCACACCTGGTGTTAGGTTATAAAATATATTTTTATATATTTTTTGTTTTTGTTTTGAGTGTTCTTACTCTTTCCTGAATCACTCATTTTGGGATAAAAGCACTATCATTTCATGAGGCAGCCTTCTGGAGAGGCCATGGGATAAGTTTGGAAGTGGATCTTCTGAGGCCTGCCAACAGCCACATAAGTTAGCTTGGAAGTAGATTTACCCAGAGCTGAACTTTGAGATGACACTAGCCCCCACCAACTACTTAATTGAAGCCAGAATTACCCAGCCAAGGTGCCCCTGGATTCCTGACTCTTATAAACTAGAACACGATAAACATTTTCAACCACTATATTTTGCTATAGTTTGTTACACAACCATCAGTAACTAATACACTCTCACTTACATATAAGAAAAAGTTAAGAAGTTTATTCAGGGTCATAGAACAGTAAGGGAAAGAGGTAACTTTTTAACTTAAGTTCCAGACCCAGGCTCTCCTACTATTCCAGGGATTCAATGGACTTTTTGTTCACTAAGTGGCAAATGAGCTCTCCCACAGTCTGACCTGATCTTGGGTATTAGGTCATGCCCTTTACTATTTAAATCAATTTTCTCTAATTTATTTGGATAACAAAACTCGCAGTCCAGTCGGAGAAGGAAGACATTTAAGAAAAAAATGTGATGTGGTGTTATCCAGGATGGATATTGACCCAGGATGCCCAGAGGAGGGGTATTTGATTCAGACTGTAGAACCAGGGAGGCTTTTCAAATGATTTGTTGACTTAGGAACATGCCTCAGCCCCTAATATGTTGCCTGGCACATGGTCTAACTTTAGTAAGTACTTGTCGACTAAGTACTACTTCTGGAAGGATAGGACACACTAGTAAGATAACAAAGAGAGAAGGAGGGAAAAAGTTCTACTGTCTCATGTTACAAAAATATCACATGGAAGAGTCAGAGTTTTTAAAAACATGACTTCTTCATAAATCTGTTCCATAGTATTGTTACATATTAGAATTTGTATATTGCCCTAAAAGTCTTTCCAAAATTAGCTATTCGAGGACCAGTTTAAAAAGTTTTGCCATACCTAGAGGCCATATGCATCAGTATTTAATTAATATCTTAAAAATATATTTTAAAAATATTTTTTAATTTAAATATTTTTGTTTATTTACTTGAGACAGAGAGAAAACAAGAAAGCGCAAGGTGGAGGAGGGTCAGAGGGAGAGGGAGAAGGAGAAGCAGACTCCTTGCTGAGCAGGGAGGGGGCTGGATCCCAGGACCCTGAGATCATGACCAGAGCCAAAGGCAGACATTTAACTACCTGAGCCACCCTGGTGCCCCAAAAAGTATTTCTTTAAACTCACTAATTTTCACGTGAAATAATATTTGGTGGCTGTAAAATGTCCACGGAAGTGTGTATGATATACAGGGAAACTACAGGCTTTGAAGCCAGACAAATTCAGGATGAAATTGTTGTTCCATCACTTATTAACATGTGCTTTTGGAAGTTACTTAGCTTCCATGACTCTTCACTTCCTCATCTATAAAGTACCTATAAAATACCTTCCTTCAACGAGCATGATGAAGATTCCATATAATATATGCCATGTCTGTCAAGACGCAGCCACACGTTCAGAAAGTGGTCTCTATTATGCTATATTTAGGTAGGAATTCTTATTGCCACTTCTCAAACAAGTCTGCTGAGGAATAAGGAAATTAAGAGACTTATCAAAGTTTCAATAGATATGTCTGAATTCAGTGGTGTTTTTTTGTTTGTTTGTTTTGTCTTTTTTTTTTTTTTTTTTGAAAAAAGTCATCTCAGGGTGCCTGGGTTGTCAGTTAGTTAAGTGTCTTCCTTCTGCTCAGGTTATAATCTCAGGGTCCTGGGATCCAGCCCCACATTGAGTCAGGCTCCCTGCCCAGCGGGGAGCCTGCTTCTCCCTCTGCCCCTCCCTTCTACTCCACCCCCACTCTCAAATAAATAATATATATATATATTAAAATTATATATTTATGAAAAGTGGCCTCTTCAGACTTAGAGTAAATTAGTGAATACTGGGTCATCCCACATCCCTGAGAGCTGGATTCTGCACATTTTAGTCAGAATCTCAAATGTGCTTTGACTTGGCTGAACAAGAAACCGACCTAACAGTTGTCAGAAGACGGTACCTGTGAGGATTTCAGCTGTGCGTTCGGTCATTTTCTGAATCACAAGTCTCACGGTTCCACCCTCCAGGCTCAGCAACAGGGTTCCCGAGCCCTCAGACAGCTCTGTGGACAGAAGCAGACCATCCTTGTTCCATGTTCGAAACTGGAAACTCACTGAAAGCCCATCAATTTGGGGGGTGCCGGGCAGCAGCAAATAACTGCTGCTGGAGTTGACAAATGTGATGGGAACAATTTGTGGTTCGGAGCAGGAAAAAGTGACATTGCCCTGGAAAACAATAAAAATCAAACATATAAAAGCCATTTTTTATTCTGCAATCTGACAGTTGATATAAACAACCACCTGGAGCTGACCTTAATTTCAGGATCATTCTATATGCAGCTGCAAGTTCTTAAAGGAAAAAGAAAATGTCAGCTTTGTTCAGATATACCTGTGAGACTGTTTCTATTCCTGTTTTATGGATCACACTCTTATCTGCGAGAAGGCCATCGGAGACCCCAGTTGTGGTAGGGGGTGGGATGGGAAGCATCGACATTTTCTAAGGAACAGGTATGAAAACAAGTGCATTCATGAACTGAATAAATATGTACTGCAAATCAACTATGGGCCAAGCACGGGATAAAGTTTAAAGGGATCCACATGAAAAAACTTTGTTATGACTTGGAAGGTGCTACAAGAGAGATAGACACAAGCGCCCAGGGGAGCCTGGTAGAAGAAAGAACTAAACATGTAAAGGTTTCACAAGGGAGGGGATGCTTTCCTGGAACGAAGTGGGGAAGGAGAGTTGTGAGTGTGCCTGGCTAGACTTTTCAGCAAGTGGCATGTTGTATGCAAAATTTAGAGAAATTAGCAAAATTAGATTCCTGGGAATTATGGGGAACTTGTCATTTCTGAACATTAAGTGATGCAGAGAGGGCCAGGGGTCATGATGGAGGTGAGACCAGAAAGATGAATAGAGGTAGAGTTTAAAAGCCCCTTTATGTTTGCTGACATTTATCATCCAAGTTTAGAAACAATAAGATGACACAGTCAGGTTTTAAGCTACTGAAGACGACTTTCAGTAGCATGAGGAGTGGAGGGAGGGGCAGATGGGAAGACTAAAGGTGGGGAATATTAAATGTGCATCAACTAGAATCAGTAGATAAGGAAGAATAGTATTATTTGCATAAGTGAGGGGAAACTGGTCCAAGTTTTCCAGGGGGGAACACCCTGGCTTGACTGGCTGCCTGAATTCAAATTTTCTACTCAGGTGTCCAGATAGGGAGGTTATATACCAAGTACAGCTCCCAGTACTGGAGCAAGTTGATTGTTCAACTACAAAATCCTCATAGTTTGGAAAAATATCCCTATGTCCCAACCATGTCTGTTAATGATAGTCCTGCATTTCTGAAAACAATCAGCAATCTCTAAACAAACTTAAACCGATAGCATATTTCTGATGGTTCACTCATCAACCATGCTGCTAGGAGTGTATGCATGCATTAATCATGTAGTCATTTAGATGTTTCCTCTTCTTTGGGTTAGATCCCCAGAAGTTAATTAATGTGTCAAAGGGCAAGGCCCTCAATATCCATTAAGAAATTGTCTACAGTTCATACTGCCCCACCACGCCTGGCAGTAGGCTAAGTGCTCACAAACATACCTCATGTATTCTGCATAGTAACATGGCATCCATTTAAATAGTTCACAAACTAGGCTTACAGAAGGTAAGTAGCTTAACAAAAGTCATGTGCCTCCTTAGCAGTGACAATGGGATACAAACCTCTGTTTGTCAGACATGGAAGACTTTCCTTTTAGTCACCATCTCTGACACATCCTTCCTCTGCACCAGATAACACCATTCTAAAAATTCTATCCATTTGTTCATGATATCCATTGTTGTTCTAACCTGCATTTAAAAAATTTTCTAGGGCACATGGGGGGCTCAGTTGGTTAAGTGTCTGACTTCTGCTCGGGTCCTGATCTCAGGGTCCTGAGATAGAGCCTCATGTCATCTGGCTCCCCCCTCAGCGGGAAGTCTGCTTCTCCCTTTCCCTCTGCCCCTCACCCAACTCGTGCTAGCTCTCACTCTCTCTCTCTCTCTCTCTCATTCTCAAATAAATAAATAAAATCTTAAAAAGATTCTGGTGGGCTTCTTTTCAAGAATGAAAATATCCTCACTAATGTCAGATTAATTGAGGCAGAGCTGTCTTTTGGAAGAAGTAAAATCACAAATGTTCCTACAGCAAAGTCCAGAGATAGTAACTACTCTTCCACTTTTTTTTTCTTTTTCTCAGGTCAGTATCACCTCCTCTAGTAACAAATTTGCCAGAGCAAAGCTGTACCCCAAGTTTGAGGCTATGCAGAAGGGAGAATGGTTGGGAGGTAGTGATGAGGCTGTAGGCAGAAGAGTAGGTCATAAAAATGCCTCATTTCCCCATTGATTTAAAATCCAATAATTAGCTCAACCCTGGGTGTTCTCTGGATCTGTAGCCATGGGAGGTGGGGGTCTACAGAAACTGAGATTCTCCTTTTATGTGAGCAATTCACTCACATCTGAGAGGTCTGGGAGACCCCTTCCTCAGACTTGCTCTGTCCACTGAATGTCTAATGGACTTCAGGTACTTAGGAAATAGACAAGGGGACTCAGCAACCCTCGAAGGCCATTCAAGTGTCCTGGCTAGATTCTGGTAGCAAGAAATTTAGATCAATTCTTCAGGGATTCTCCCTGGTTAAGGTAAAGCCATGTGTGGTGATCAACACTTTTCCTCACTGGGGAGGACACCACTGAAATCACTGGGGTGCCCCTGGTTCACTGCAGGTCATGCTCCTCCAGTCCATTCTCCACATCCCTTCACACTGTCCTCTGCTGACCTTCCCTGGTGCAGCTGCCTGAGCTGTCCAAACTTCCCTGTTGTTCAAACATATCCCTGCTATGTTCTCTGATGGCAAGTCCAAGGACAAATGAGTAGGAGAGAAGAGAAAGTAGATGGGAAATGCTTTCCACAACAAATCTGACCCAGCTCTCCTGGCAAGTGAATGTTTCCAGCTCAGCTCCCCATCACACAGCTGCTGTGCTGCCATTTCTGCTTCTAATCCTATCTCAGCTACACTTGCTGTTGGCAGAAACGTCACAGTGTTGAGAAACATCAATATCCACCCCCACCCCCATCGCCCCAGTAGACAGGAAGAAAAAAACATTAGCTAAATGCAAAAGTACTACTTTTGAAATCAGCAGATTATTTAATCTTTCTTAATAATATCATTTGTTACTTCAGAATCCTTCTCAAGGCAGCATTTGAGGGAGTACCCACCATGATTTAGAAACAGCATGCAAGAAGACAATTTACTTTAGGATGTTGTCAAAACAGAAAGTGGCAAAAAGTCTACAGACTATGTTCTACCCTAAGTACCCCTTCAATCTATTAATTCAACTTTCATTCCATCTCCCCCACCGCCACCGCACTGCCTGCCAAAAAGGAAGCTCTGTTTCTCAAACCCCTTATTCCACTGCACATTTAATTCATTAAAGTCAACATTTATTCAAGATTTCTCAAGCATTGTAAAACAATGTATTAAGCACAGGAGTTATCGATAAGTTATAAACATGGTGGAAATCCTTTGCATTAGTCCTTAAATGTACATTTTGACTGTAATAGGTACAAAGTATGCCCTGACACAGGAGCACACTGTGGCCAAATCTTCAACATAAATCAACCAACTCTGGCCCTATAGATGAGATAAAGAAGTCAGTATCACTGTCATGGGTCCCCTTCTCCCCTCCATAAATTACAAGACCTGCAGGGTCTTTCACTGTCCAACAAGGAGGTCACTCTACATTGAAGAAGCTAAATCCTTGGTACCTGATGTGTTTCTCCTGACAACTCCACCATGTCCTGGTTGGATAGTGACCTTCTACTACATGACTGACTGACAGTCAAGACTGGGAGTAGGGCAACAACTGGCACGGGTACCTGGAACACCTGAGTGGGGAACCTTCCTTTGTCCCCAGGGTGGCAGTTCTTAGTGCCCTGTGCTTTCACGTATGCTTTTCATGTGCATACATGCCCATCCTCCAAAAGGCGAGGTACCCAAAAGTGCTGGCCCTAAGATAGAGCAGCCATTTGTCCTTTAGAGACCCCCAGATAATATCCGTATTCCTTCTCAAGGATCCACCATGGCCTTTTCTTCACAACCCTTAAGACATAGAACTTCCCAACCCACCTTTCTCAGACAAAAAGTGATCACTCCAGATGGAGCACAGAACTTTGAATCCCTAATGATCCATGTTCATAGACCATCTTAGAGAGATTGTCCATATCTGTGTAAAAATGCTGTTCTACAACAGCAAACAACAAAAGCTGATACTGTCACCTGTCGTGAGAAGGTTGATGGCCTCCTGTAGGTGGTCAGAACTTGAAACCCAAGAACCAAGTCCATGTCAGAGAAGGAAGCAAACCTTTTTCATTGATTCATCCTCCCCAAGGAGGCCCTTCCTCCAGAGGGCAGAGAAAAACCCCTACCTCACTAATAGCTATGAAGGAGCAGTACACGGTTTTAGACAAAGGAAGCCTATCCTAATCCGGACAGTTACAAAAGGCCTCCTTAGGGAGGTGACACTAGCATTAAGATTTTACAGAGGCACAGGAGTGGCTATGTGGAGAGTTGGAAAGTGTGTTTTCTGATCACAGAGGGAAAGCATTTGCTAAGGTCAGAGGCAGGAAGGTGTATGGCGGGCATAGTCAGAGACTCAACAGAAGGTCAGCTGACTACAATTCAAAAGCCAGCATGTCAGCAGGCAAGATGAAGTCAAAAGGACAGAAAGAAGAACAATCATGTCACTCTTCAGACCATGTTGAGGCACTAGGACTTGATGCTATGGAAAAAAGAGAGTGGGAATAGGGGAAGGGAGATTGATGTAGAGGTTAGGATACACGGTCGTGTGGTGCTTCAGATGCATCCCTCAGGAGGCTGTCGTTAGGGAGTGAAGTGTATTGTGTCAGGAGGAGATGAGTGGCCAAGGGCCACACCTCAGGCAGCTGTTGCAGTTAGTAGACCAGAGCAGTTGAGGGCTTACGGAAGGCTCTATCTAGAATGGCAAAGGCGGAGAGGGAGAAAAGCAGATATTTTGCAGGTAAAATTGATAGGAGGTGCTATGCTGGGTGAAGGGATAGGGAGATCAAGCATAGCTCCCACTCTCCTCTGTTTGAACAAGGGACTTCAGGTAAGAATGAGCAGACAGGGAAGGAAAAGATTTATTTTTTGTTAGATTTCTTTACAGTGCCCCA